GAAGCAATAAAAAGATTGAAAGCCCATATTACTGCGATATGTATTATTTGCAACGAATTTACATTGTTAAAGAAAGGATGATATCTCCAAGTGACTTCCGTCTTTTGCAATAGCAGCAGACAATTTTTATTTCGCACAAAGATCCGCAGTCCACCGATGACGAAGCGATGCGCGCGAATTTTCGTAAGCGAAAATGTCCGAGCAGCGTGGAAAACGCTGCGTTGCGGGCCTGGTACAGTAATGTCTCTCCAATTGACGCTCAGTTTGTCCACGAAAATGGACAATTTGGGAAGAGGAGATACGATTGTTCGAGCCTTGCGGTGCGTTTTTATAGTTTCGAATTGTCAACAACTATAAGAAAACGAGACGCGAGGTTCGAACAATCGTATCTCCTCTTCTCAAATTGTCCATTTTTGTGTGCAATTTGAGTGTCAATTAGGAAGAATTTACTGTATTTGGAATAATTTTAAACTATAAAAACGAACCGCAAGGCTCGAACAATCGCGTCTCCTCTTCTCAAATTTTGCATTTTTGTTTCCAAGCCGGGCGTCGATTAGGAAGAATTTGCTGTATAGTAATGTCTCCCTAACTGACGCTCAGATTTTGCACAAAAATGGACAATTTTGGAAGATGAGATACGATTATTCGAGCCTTGCAGCTCGTTTTTATAATCGTTGGCATAATTCGTTGACTATAAAAATAAATCGCAAAGCTCGAATAATTGCATCTGCTCTTCCCAAATTGTCCATTTTTCTGCGCAATCTCAGCGTCGATAAGGGAGACAATTCGAAATTATAAAAACGAACCGCAAGGCTCGAACAATCGTATCTCCTCTTTCCAAATTGTCCACTTTTGTTTGCAAGCTGAAGGAAAATTTGGGAGAATTGACTATAATCAGTGGTATAACTACACAAGAATTTCATTTCATATTATATTTAATTTTAATTATATTTATATTAAATTTCATTCTATATCATCTTTCATACTAATGCATGTTCTTATGCATGTTCATATTCTTATTTCCCTCTTTATACAGTAATGTCTCTCTAATCGACGCGCTCAGATTGTGCACAAAAGTGGAAAATTTCGGAAGATGAGATGCGAGCCTTGCAGCTCGTTTTTATAGTTGCTGTTGACAATTCGTGAGTATAAAAACGAACCGCAAGACTCGAACAATCGCGTCTCCTCTTCTCAAATTGTCCACTTTTGTTTCCAAGCCGGGCGTCAATTACGAAGAATTTGCCGTCTCCCTAACTGACGCTCAAATTTTGCACAAAAATGGACAATCTGAGCGTCAATTAGAGAGACATTACTGCATTTCGAGATCACCCGAGTGCATCGATTTTACTGTCCTCCGTTCGTTCGTTCGTTCGTCGTCCGAATAAATGCACTCGTTCGCGCGAATCATACAAAATTTATTTATAAAATGAATGTTTAAAAATGTCATTCGCAATTGTTCCAGGATGCTTTGTTGAAACAGTTAGTGGGCAGCGTGGAACAGCGGGGCACCGTGCTGCGATGGGACACCATAGCCGCTCATTTCACAGATCGAAGCGACGTCCAATGCCAGCAGCGATGGGCAAAGGTCGTGAATCCGGAGCTGGTCAAGGGACCCTGGACGAAGGAGGTATATATACCTGAATTTTGTTCTCCACCCTTCTCCCATCGAGCCTCCTTCCGGCCATTGTCTCACGAATCCTGCGAAGCCTGCGTCGAAGTCTCTCCGCCACTCGAGGGTAGCTCCGGCCGCCATTTTTGTTTCGCCCGAATGCGCTCCGAGGCACCGAAAAAGAGGAATCGAACTTGACAAGCGACGTGTTTCATTGCAGAATAATACACAGCGATTTTCGACGACGTGTAACACGTTCCATAAATGTCGTTCTTCTCTCAGTAGCTTCGCAAAATGAAAGACAACGTGAACGATTAATACTGGATTTACGGAAAGATGCACATTTATGGGTTATTTATTTAATTTATATGTTACTTAACATTAATGGCAAATGTTACGATAACGCTTGTTATAAATCGGAATAAATGTTTTATTGTTACTTTTATAAACGTATATGTTTTTCGTGCTCCGTAAATCTAGTGTCAACCCTTTGCAGCCGGAGACTGCATTTTAAGTCGAGATCCAAAATAGTTTTTTTCTGCGTTGCGGTATTTCCCAAAATTGAATTTTGAGGCAAGTGCACACTTACACTTACACTTGAGTTTTCCAAATATAGACAAATTTGATAATGTTAACCCTTTGCACTCGAGCGGTGACTCTGAGGCACCGCTAAAATCGTTATATCGCGTTCCAAGATCATTTTTATATCAACAAAATTTATATTTAAAAAATTATGTTATGACAAAGAATAATAAAAAAAATTGTTATAACATGCACTTTGTCGTATAAAATGCAAATACTATAAGTCAGAGAAATTATTTTAGATTTACCGTTAAGATGGCTTCGAGTGCAAAGGGTTAAAATTATTTAGAAACGTGGTATAGCAATTTTCTAATGGCGCCTCATAGACGCCGCAAGAGTGCAAAGGTTTAAAATTATTTAGAAACGTGGTATAGCAATTTTCTAATAGCGCCACATAGGCGCCGCAAGAGTGCAAAGGGTTAAAATTATTTAGAAACGTGGTATAGCAATTTTCTAATGGCGCCTCATAGACGCCGCAAGAGTGCAAAGGTTTAAAATTATTTAGAAACGTGGTATAGCAATTTTCTAATGGCGCTTCATAGACGTTGCTCGAGTGCGAAGGGTTAAAATTATTTAGAAACGTGGTATAGCAATTTTCTAATAGCGCCTCATAGGCGCCGCTCGAGTGCAAAGGGTTAAACAACATAAAACTTGCAACGTATACGTTGCGGTAGAAATAAATCTTCTACTTAAGCAGTAAATTCTCCCTAATTCGCGCTCAGATTTCTCACAAAAATAGACAATTTGGAAAGAGGAGATACGATTATTCCGGCGACGCTGCTGAAACGAGGTGCAAAACTCGAATAATCGTATTTGCTCTTCCCAAATTGTCCATTTTTGTTTCCAAGCTGAGCGTCAATTAGGGAGAATTTATTAATCATATAATTTTTTCTCGTTTTATAAATATGTAAACTAAAATATATACTATACTATATACTATATACTACTATATAATAGTAGTAATATTATGCTATATAACTATATAAGACATACTACTATATAATAGTAGTAATATTATATTATATAGTTATATAATATATTATGTATAGTTATATACTACTATATATAATAGTAGTAATATTATACTATATAACTATATACTATATTATACTATACTATAATCTTGTACTGACGAACTTTAACGGTACTACGATATCTTTGTCGAAAATACGTTACTGCAACTCTGTGCAGGATTCGGTTTGCAGGTATCGGAACCTGTTTGCGCAAGGATATACGTTTGGGCCCGACCGAGGGGGCCGTTTCTCTTGTCGTCGACAGGAAAGTTCGCGAGGTACCGTTACACCCCCTTTCTCGAAAAGTTTCTTCTACCGTGCCAGCGTATCCGGGATGAGTTCTGGTCTGGGGGGGCCAACACAGTTTCCAGGCCACACACAGGGTGTATTGTAAGATCTGCACGAGAAGCGCCACCGTGCAAGATAGCATTTTTCGGAATTCATTGAACGTATCAGTTTTTCGCACAGCTGTTAGTTTGATCGAATTACAAAAAACTGTCCAGTCGAAGTAGAATATATACAGGGTGTTTCAGGATTTCTCGGCCAAATGGTGTGTTCAGAATTACTCTACGAGCGAAAATAAGAAAAAGAATGTCATACGAACGTAGGCTCGACAATGCTTTATTAATAAATTGTAAGAATTGCCTCTTCGAAATGTATATACAATACAATATTACAATAATACAATAATATAATATTATTATATATTAATATTATATTATATTATTATATAATATATAATTTATATATTATCTACTTATATTATTATATATTAATATTATATTATATTATTATATATTAATATTATATTATATTATTATATAATATATATTGTATTTTATTATATATAATATTAATATATAATAATATAAATAGATAATGTATAAATTATATATAATATAATATTACAATAATATAATACAATAATTTTGTAAATACAGCATTGACATCTCTGAAAAATCGAGCGAATTAGTAAACACAGGATAAATAAATACAGATAAGAGAAATACCGCTGACATATTTCCTTTTTGAACGAAAATCAGTCCGTCGTTATTACGTATTTTAATTTTTAACGTTTTAACGGTAAGTGTCGAATATCAATTAAAAAAATTCACACAATATCATCAAAGCCATTCAATTAATCAAACCAAAACTAGAAAATGAAAATTTTCCATAGGGAAAATATTACTTCAGTCATTTAGCACTCTACAAATCCTAGTAACATTCAATTCGTCCACTATATTACAATAAAAATGTATTTCAAAATTATTTTAAAATTCATTTAAGAATTAGCGTGATCCATGCGTGACTGACGCGACCCCGAACGCATCAAACAAAGACATTTGCCAGTCGAAAGATGTCCGACAGAGTTTCCCCCTTATTTTCGCTCCGTAGTACACGCTCCGTTACCGCGTTTCGCCGAGAATACCTGCGACGACACCCTGTACATACATCTCCAGCCGTCCACAAGCAATCGCACTTTCATGGACGACACGATGTAAACACGAGATTTCCGTAAACACCGGTACGCGCGTAAATAAAAAAACCACGGATCACAGTGGAACTGTTCCGAGCAGCCTAGAGTTGTGTGTTCCGCTGCGGTACGACGAGCGGCATTTGTTTTGATGCTCGAGAGCCGGGCAGTTGTTTTGAATCTCGAGCTGGCCGGCCGGCCGGCCCTTCTCCCGTGGCCCTGTGTGCACGGCCGGTACTGTACGCCTACACGTTGGGCCGGGCAGAGAAAAGGAACGAACGAAACCGCGGCTCTCCACGGTCGCCTCGGTGGGGTATGCAATAAGAAGAAGAGAGGGGGGCGGCTGGAGCCGCGGAGATGCTGCGTCGTCGTCGTCGTCGTGCCAATGCACTTGGCAACAGCCAAGGGCAAGTAAGCCGCCGAACGCCAGTGTACCGAACGCCGCGTACACGCGGTCACGGAGACTCGTCGGTGTGCACCTGATTCGTGGTATGGGAGCGCAAACCCATCGCGTCCTCGTTGCCCGACTCCTACGTCTCTGTCTCCGTCCTCTCTCGCTCTCTCTCTCACTCTTCCTCTCTTGCTTTCTCTCACTTTCTCGCTCTCTTTCGCTCTCTCTCTCTCTCGCGCTCTGTATTTCGCGCTCTGTCTCTCGCGCTCTGTCTCTCGCTCTCTCTCTCTCTCTCTCGCGCTCTGTCTCCCGCACTCTCTCTATCTCTCGCGCTGTCTCTCGCTCTCTCTCTCTCTTCCTCCCTCTTTCTCTCTCTGATTTGTCCTCTCTTTCTGCCCCCTCCCCTCCCCTCGCCGAAGCCTCTCCGCGGAGGTTCGTGCGCGACGCGACCGTCTCTGCTCTCCTCACTCTCTCTCTCTCTCCTTTCTTCGACCTACCGCCACGTTCTCCGCCTCTTCGTGACTCCGCGAGGACCGGAGAAATTACTTACGAGACGAGAGAAGACTCGGTCGGGTCCGATGGGACCGCGCTCGGGGAACCTTCCGGTGCTCCGCGCCGGCTCTCCACGTTTTTCTACGACACGTTCGAGAAGCGTTCGATGGAATGTGTGTTCCCCTTTCCAAGCTTTCCGTGAGACGCGCGCCAATCCGCTGCCTTCGGATAATCGAAAGCCCTGCGGGGGGTCGTTTTCTTTTTTGATCCCCGCTGATCGACCGGTAATTTTCTTGTTGAGCGCTTCGAGAAAATGCGCGCTGACTTTTGGAACACGCGTTGATCGACCGTTAAAGAACTCGCGGGCCCGCGGAGGGTATTAATGGAGTACCAAGAGGGCGTTAAAGAGGTTATTGGAACGTGATTTCTGGGTTTTTTTCTATGCGAATGATTCTGTGTACAGTAATGTCTCTCTAATTGACGCTCGGATTGTCCACGAAAATGGACGATTTTGGGAAAGGAGATGCGATTTTTCGAGCCTTGTGGCTCGTTTTTTATGCTTATCGATTGTCGACAATTGTAAAAAGGAATTGCGAGGCTCGGATAATCGTATCTCCTCTTCCCAAATTGTCCATTTTGGTGGACGATCTGAGCGTCAGTAAGGGAGACATTACTGTAGTCTTTGCGAGAGAAACAAGATTAGCTGCCTATTTACAGTAATGTCTCTCTAATTGACGCCCAGATTTCGCACAAAATTGGACAATTTGGGAAGAGAGAATTATAGTTATAAATTGTCCATAATTATAAAAACGAGCCGCAAGGCTCGAATAATTGTTTCTCCTCTTCCCAAGTTGTCCATTTTTTGTGCAGAATCTAGGCGTCAAAAGGGAGACATTATTGTAGTCTTTGCGAGAGAAGATTAGCTGCCCATTTACAGTAATGTCTCCCTAATTGACACCCAGATTGCGCACAAAATTGGACAATTTGGGAAGAGTTGGGGAAGGGTTCGGGAAGAGAGAATTATAGTTATAAATTGTCCACAATTATAAAATAATCGTATCTCCTCTTCCCAAATTGTCCATTTTTGTACAGTCCATTACTGTATACAGTAATGTCTCCCTAACTGACGCTTAGATTGCGTAGAAAAATGGACAATTTTGGAACAGGACATACGATTATTCCGGCTTTGCACCATGTTTTTATAATCGTTGACAATCGGTAACTATAAAAACGAGTCGCAAGGTTCGAATTCGCAAGGCTCCTCTTCCCAAATTGACCATTTTCGTGGACAATCCAAGCGTCAATTAGGGAAGTATTACTGTAGTCTTTGCGAGAGAAACAAGATCAGCTGCCCATTTACAGAAATGTCTCTCTAATTGGCGCCCAGATTGCGCACAAGATTGGACAATTTGGGAAGAGTTGGGGAAGAGTTTGGGAAGAGAGAATTATAGTTATAAATTGTCCACAATTATAAAGACGAGTTTCAAGGCTCGAATAATCGTATCTCCTCTTTCCAAATTGACCATTTTAGTGGACAATCTGAGCGTCAGTAAGGGAGACATTATTTATACCTGTCTCTTATACACATCTAGATGTGTATAAGAGACAGGAGTTGGGGAAGAGTTTGGGAAGAGAGAATTATAGTTATAAATTGTCCACAATTATAAAAACGAGTTTCAAGGCTCGAATAATCGTATCTCTTCTTCCCAAATTGACCATTTTAGTGGACAATCTGAGCGTCAGTAAGGGAGACATTATTTATACAGTCTTTGCGAGAGAATCAAGATTAGCTGTCCATTTACAGTAATGTCTCTCTAATTGACGCCCAGATTGCGCACAAAATTGAACAATTTGGAAAGAGGAGATACGATTATTCGAGCCCTGCGATTTATTTTTATAATTATAAATTGTCCACAATTATAAAAACGAGTTTCAAGGCTCGAATAATCGTATCTCCTCTTCCCAAATTGTCCATTTTAGTGGAAGATCCGAGCGTCAGTAAGGGAGACATTACTGTACTCCCATTGAAAAGCTCAATTTTTCTTTGACACGAAACTTGACACTTCCCACAACCGCACTAGTAATCTATTATCATCATAAAATTAAAATATTTCGTTCATTCAAACAAAAATTACGAATCAGACTTATATTACATCAATTATTTCTTCAGCATTCGTACCTCTCGCGAATCTCACTAAAATTAAGCAATCATTTTTAATTTTTCATCAATCATCGTTTCGGTCTTTAATCGACCGAATTTAAAACTGAGAGATCTCCCCATTCGGTTGGCTAAGTGTTTAATAGTCCGATGTGTGTCCTGGTTCATGTCCCCGATGTCTTGAGAACATTCCTCGAATTTTCCCAGAGACGGGGACGGAGTTCAAGTGTGTAAGAGAGTCACACAGGTGGTAAGTGAGAGAGGCGCATGAAGGGCCCCGCGCCTCGGGTTTCGTGGGGAACAGCGGCCGTGTAAGGTAGAAACCGGTAAATCAGGAGGTTTCCGTTCCGACGACTGATGATTGCCGATGTTTGCAGGAGGACGAAAAAGTGGTAGAATTGGTGGAGCGATACGGGCCGAAGAAGTGGACGTTAATTGCACGGCATCTGAAGGGTCGTATCGGTAAGCAGTGCCGGGAACGATGGCACAACCATCTGAACCCGGGAATCAAGAAAACAGCGTGGACGGAGGCGGAGGACAGGATCATCGTCGAGGCGCACCGCAGAGTGGGCAATCAGTGGGCGAAAATCGCCAAATTGCTGCCCGGAAGGACCGACAACGCGATTAAGAATCATTGGAACAGCACGATGAGGAGGAAATACGAGGCTGAAGAAGGAAGATCCACTACCGGAACCAGAGGTTCATAGAATTTATTAGTTACACGGGTGCACAAACTGCTCGTTGTGACGTCTCGCGGGTAAAGTTGCTAATGTCATACTAATTAAGATGTTTAGGATCCTCCTGACTCTTTTTTGAAAAAAGAAAAGTATTTTAAAACCTGTTCATTAGCCGCTACTGCATTGCCAGGGGTGAAAAAGAAGACAGAAAAAGATCTACACCAGTGTCTCCCTAATTGACGCTCGGATTGTCCACTAAAATGGACAATTTGGGAAGAGGAGCGTTGCGAATTCGAGCCTTGCGGTTTATTTTTATAGTTATAAATTGTCCACAATTGTAAAAACGAGCCGCAAGGCTCGAATAATCGTATCCCCTCTTCTCGAATTGTCCATTTTTGTTTCCCAAGCTGAGCGTCAATTAGGGAGATATTGTACTCTAATAATAATATTACTGTACAGCAATGTCTCCCTTATTGACGCTTAGATTGTCCACTAAAATGGACAATTTGGGAAGAGGAGGCTTGCGATTTCGAGCCTTGCGGTTTATTTTTATAGTTATAAATTGTCCGCAATTATAAAAACGAGCCGCAAGGTTCGAATAATCGTATCTCCTCTACCCAAATTATCCAATTTAGTGGACAATCTAAGCACCAGTTAGGGAGACATTACTGTATCACCGGATGCGTTTTGTACAATACTTGCTAAAGCCTTGTAATTTATTACGGAAGATTCTTTTCAAAAGGTTGCGAAAGTTAAACGATTCTCACGGTGCTACAGGCGTGCTAAAAATTATATTTTTAACGGTACTCAGTTTATGAAATAATATTCGCTTAAACATACGGATGCTTGCTGCGCTGCATTTCGAATCTGCCGCGCTTCGTTCAGGGGCCCGAACAGCGCCGTTACACATAGCGGCAAAACGCTGAAGCTGCTAACAAAATTACCAACGGTTGATAAAATATAAACATTGTAAACAGTTACGCGAGTAATTTACAGCTGTCCGAGACATAGAATCGATGCACGGAATCGTTACGAACAGTTTGTCACCAAGAATATTAAATTTTCACCATTGATTTATTTAATTTCTGAAAAATGCTCTCCCACGGGCAATAACAGATAAGTCAGATGATCGGTGAAGATCATCGAGAAACTCACCCTCCTACAATGCCGCCTCTTTGTTTCCGCTAGCTGGCCGACGTTGCGCGAGCATTTTACATTCTAGCAAAACCATGATCCTTAAGCTCCTATAATTTGTAGAACAGATGTTATAATGGCACTGATGCGTTCAATAGGGCGAAGTCGAAGAAAAGCCACGGAGCCGTCATCAGCCGCTCCGAAACAGGACACCCTCTGCGCAAAAGACGACGTATCCGGTCACGCCCGCCTAAAACTGCCGTCCACGAGCAACGAGAACGCGACGACGATTCAACCGACCGTCCAGGCATCGAATGCTCTGGACATGGACCAGGTCGACTGGACCAGAGCCTGGGAGAATCATCAGAACACTCAGACGTTCCAGGGTCTTCTGAATCTGAATGACCGCAGCACCCATAACGCTGATTCTCGGTTGGACTCTCCCTCGAAGAGGGCCAGCTCGTCTGTTAAAGTCAAGACTGAACCAATATCGCCGTTTACAAAGTACGTCCCATGACCAGAGAAAACGATTCGCTTTACTCACAGAGTTCGTCTGTTAAACGTGACAACCATTTTCTTGTAGGTTTTTCGATTTACAAATCCAAGGCGAGGCGGCCAACTCGAGGAACTCTGAAATCAGACTGATGCCCATGCCGGACCTGGACGAGATATCAAGCAGTATGGCGGAGAAGGAGCGAAGCAGTCCCCCGCCAATTCTACGCAGGCGCAGAAATACTCAGACCCTTCAGCAGAGAACCGACACCCCCGACAGCGGGAACCAATCCGATTATCTGATAATAACCCAACAGCAACCGCAACAACACCAGCAACAGACGGACGACACAACCCCATCCACTCCCATTAAGCAGCTCCCGTTCAGTCCATCACAGTTTTTAAATAGTCTCAGTCCCGAAACCTCTTCCTGGCCCCGTGCCAGCACACCTAAAGCGAGCAGCCCCGGACCATTAACCACACCGCAGCCCACCGGTCTTCGACGAAGTCAGAATGGTAAATTATCCTCGAGGCATTTTTCATGCTGTTACTCGTCCATTCAACAATTTACTCCTTCTATTGTCAAATTGTAAATAATTACACGCGTTGATCCTACGATAAATCTTCAATCTATAAAATCAGGGACTCGTCCCCACCTACCAGAGTCTGCTAGACTACAAAACGTCACTTGTATTCGCAGATGGCAACACGCCGAGAACGCCAACGCCGTTCAAGAACGCTTTGGCAGAGCTGGAACGGCGGAGCGGCGCGACTACTCAGTTACCTGCTACCCCGAGTCGTCTCGATGCTTTAACCGAGATCATCAAACAGGAAACCGACCGTGAAAGCTTAGCAGGGACCAGCACTATCCTCCAAGATTCTGGTTACAGCACGATAAGACGGCGGGGTAAAGAGAACAGCGCTCCTGGCGGAAAGAGAGCGCGGAAAGCTCTCTGCCAAGCCTGGGCGAATGCTTCTCAAGATAATTCAGAAATTAGTTTCGTTGTAGAAACACCCGTAAGTCGAACATTTTATACGTTTAAAATTCTTATTCGCTAAAAACAGACCGCCGCGTTATCGCATTACTACATTTCAATATACAATAGTGAAAATGTTTTATGCAACAAGGTTTCTTTGTTCTTTGCAGAGTAAAAGTCTGGACACGTCTGTATTATTTTCCCCGGCATCAATGGCACTGGAGGATAGTTTCTTAACAGCAGGGACTAGTCCCGTAAAGGTAGAGAACCATAGCCATCATAATCAAAACCGGATTCAAACTCAACCAGCCCTATCCTGGTATTATTCCCGTGCCAATCGCCTTTAGACACGCTAGCCGGCCTAATTCTCTTTTGTTTAACACTCTCTCTCTCTCTCTCTCTCTCTCTCTCTCTCTCTCTCTCTCTCTCTCTCTCTCTCTCTCTCTCTCTCTCTCTCTCTCTCTCTCTCTCTCTCTCTCTCTCTCTCTCTCTCTCTCTCTCTCTCTCTCTCTCTCTCTCTCTCTCTCTCTCTCTCTCTCTCTCTCTCTCTCTCTCTCTCTCTCTCTCTCTCTCTCTCTCTCTCTCTCTCTCTCTCTCTCTCTCTCTCTCTCTCTCTCTCTCTCTCTCTCTCTCTCTCTCTCTCTCTCTCTCTCTCTCTCTCTCTCTCTCTCTCTCTCTCTCTCTCTCTCTCTCTCTCTCTCTCTCTCTCTCTCTCTCTCTCTCTCTCTCTCTCTCTCTCTCTCTCTCTCTCTCTCTCTCTCTCTCTCTCTCGTCTCTATCATTATTTTCCTCATGTTCATTTCATTTTTAATTCTGCCTGCCTCTCGCATAACCTTGACATAACCTTGTCGCTTCTTTTTTTTCTGTCCATTCGACCTGTTTCTGTTTTCTCGTACCTCTTTTGTTTCCTCTCTTTTTCTCTTTTTAATTATTAATTTATGAGTACATGTTTAATCACCAAGGCGCGCGGAAAAGAGAAAACGTAACCTCGGTTAGCTAACCTTTGTGACCCCTAATTCGCCTGTTTTCGTCGCCCTGGTAATCGTCCAATCCAAAGATTATTAGCGTTCTTTTTCCGTCTCGTAAGTTCTAGAGTATAACATGACTAACATTCATGTCGTAAAATACCGTTTGATTTATTTATACATTAACTTATTCCAATTACGTGTATGCCTATCCTGTTAAATTATTTATATGTAGCTGGTAGGGTCCGAATACCTTTTCAAGCATAAGTCACAGTAAGGAAGCCGCGTTATTTAAACAATTGTGTCGGAGATTGAATCGTCTCACGATCAAGGTACTTAAGTGTGATAGATCGCGCGTGTATAGAATTTCTTTTTTATATTTGTAAACATTAACTAATTAATACGTACTGAATGTATACGTACTCAAAAATTCGAACACCGTTTGTAAAGTCGACATCGATAACATTGTTTCGTTTTTTGTTTGCTTTAGTCATCGGGGTTTTCCTTTGATCTAGTTTCGCTAAGCATTCAATTTTGTTTATGAGCCTCGTACTCGTTTTCGTTTCCCTCTATCTTTTGATTTTTGAAACGCTTTTCTTTTTTTGTTAATACTTTAATCGAATGTGTAAATTATTCGCGAGCGTTATAACGCTGTCAAGACGACACGAACTGTAATTACACGCATCTCAATGATGTCGACGTGTCGATAATTAATTTTTAGGTTCGCCGAACGGCTGTGTCCGTTTCTTTTTTTTTTCTATAGAATTCAATGGCGTTTCTATTGAGAAACGCGGAACAATTTGGGACAAGCTGTCTCTGTACATATACGAACGAAATAACGATTCCGCGTAAATGACGCGGAACAAACGAAAACACAATACATAAAACACGTAAACGACGAATGGTCATTGACCCCGTCGTCTGCGTACACGGTTTACGAACGCTGCGTGGTAGTGTCATTTGCAGTCTTACCTTCGTCCTCTAACAATAAGTTCTCAAATACCAAACGACAGAATGCAAAAAGATTGTTTTGCTTTTGGTAAACGGGTCCACAAATAACTCTCGCGGCATGGGACATGCGTTTCAATAGAACAAGAGACAAAAGTACAATGCTTACACCATGACTCTATCTGTCCATCGATGATGTCGTTCTTAAAACAACCATGTACACTTGCAAACTAATTTAACAGAAATACTTAACTTGTCATCTTGGGCAAAGTGCTAACAACCGTAGATGTCAATGGCTCTATCTGTCCACCGATGATGTCGTTCTTAAAACAACCATGTACACTTGCAAACTAATTTAACAGAAATACTTAATTCGTCATCGTGGGCAAAGTGCTAACAACCGTAGATGTCAACGGCTCTATCTGTCCATCGATGATATCGTTCTTAAAACAACCATGTACACTTGCAAACTAATTTAACAGAAATACTTAACTCGTCATCGTGGACAAAGTGCTAACAACCGTAGATGTCAATGGTGTACGAGTACATACTTCTTTCTCTTCAAACAGTACGTTCGCTAATTGTATCCCATGACTCCTTTGTTCTTAAAACGATAACCAGATCCTTTACAACAATGTATGTACATATATACATAAAAATATATATATATACATATAGGTATATAACACAAAAGTATATATATATATAAATAATATTTTTAAATATTTATTACCATATTAATATATTCATATATTTATATATTTTTACTTCTTTCGTAAATAACGTTCAGTTGCCGCATGTCTACAAACTAACTCGAACGTAAAACAAAACTCCTTGAATAGGCCTGGCCTAGCGTACCAAAGTACACCTCTCCCCGTTCCTGTTCCCATCCTCCTGTCATGTACACTTGTTCCAAGAAACGACTATGTCCAAAGACGATTTTGAGCGGCGGCCTCGAGATGGCGCTTATTCCAAAAGCGACTTCTAACCGTGTAAAAGAGAAACGGAAAATAAAATTGAGAAAACGGCCTAGTCATGTCACGGCAGTTCGCTAGCGACGCCGCGAAATCTGCTCCGGTGAGAGAACACACGTGTAAGGACGAGTCAACGCAGTCCCCTAATTTTTCTCAGAAGTGAGTCCCCCTAAGTCCTCTCTGTTTCTATCCCCCTGCTCTCTCTTTCTCTCTATATATATATACACATCTCTTTTTAATTTCTCTCTCTCTCTCTTTCTATCAAACACACTACACAGATACTCGTGCCGTTTCTTTCGTCTCTGTACCCCCACTCTATCGAGTGAGCGACTTTCAAAGCGTGAAATCGATCGGCGGGGGGCACTCTCTCGCCGATCATTAAACGTACTTTTATTTTTTCACCCGGCACAGAGACACTCCTGTACAGAGGGGATGCCTCGAAACAGAAATACTTTTTAATTGCCGGCTGTAGCTAGTGTGTCTATCCTTTCCAGACTTCCCACGACTTTGCGTCCGTACAGCGGAAGCCTAACGCCAAGAGAGCGATCACGTTCGAAGCGTTCGACAGTCCCTGCTGTATCATCAGCCCTCTGCCACTCAGGCCAGTCAAACGCCCCAAGGTGAGTCCCTGTTTTTCTTCTCTCCTTTACAGAGCCCCTGCTACTTGGTCGTAGATCGGTATTCTCGGTGCGTGGACAGTGTCGTAGACGATATGGATCACCCAAATGTGCAATTTCTCACAACTAGAATGCGGTGTTTATGCGTTTATGATAAAAATGTGTACGTGAAACAGGAAAGAGTGAAACGATTTAGAAGGAGCTGAGAATGTTGATGTGCCAATTTCATCTTATCAAAATTATTAGACAAAGATTAGACAAAATTAAGATTGAAATAAAAAAATAAGACAAAATTATTAACAAAGGAAGATTATACTTCGCTCCATTTGTCTTGCAATTGACGCAGAGAATCATCGTTTTGCACCAAGAATCGTGGTCTACTCGTAACAATTATAAAAATGCATTTCCTGATTGATGATGCCATTCAAATAGTTTCAATGTATTAACCCTTAGCGCTCTGTTGGCTCCGCTATGCAGACATCCGTCATTTGTTCCGTAAATCCGAAGGCTCTGCT